CGGCAAGCGATTCAGCACTGGTCAAAGCAGCTAGAAATTTCGCCAGTGCTATGAAACACAGTTCATCCAAGTATTTTGATTTTTTTGATTACTTGCATTATAAGCAATTTTTAGAAGAACCCGTCCAAAGTGGTGCTCGGTACATTCGTAATTTTGCTGGTAATTGCATTGGCTGTAATTCTCGCGGCTGTGATTACGTACTCAGAGAGTGTTAGCTATACAGTCAGCAACGTGGACAATATTGATAAATCCATTGAAGGCGTTAGCAACGGTAATTTTCTTAATTTTTTTGGTGACCTTGCCTTTTGACTTTTTTGATGGCCAAGAAGTTTCTCAACGACAAGTATTCGGTAAAAGCTCTAGCAAAAGGCGGAAAGAATTACCTCTGGAAGTTTTCCAGATGGAAAAATTGGATTATTGTTGCAGTAAAATGATCGGCTAATAGACATTATAGTTCTTCCATAAAAAAACTTGAATTTTGTCGCAATAAATTTGCTCAGCTAATAAGCTTTTATGGCTTCCTATCCAGCAAACCCTCTTTCTGCTATAGCTAACTACTTAGCTTATAAACTTCAGTGACTCCTTAATAAACTTGCTTGCAACTGCATTTAATTGCTTGGCTAGCTTTATTGACTCCCTATACAACGAATTTGGTCCATGCTGTAGTAAATTGCCCGGCTGGCAGTCTGTATTGACCTACGGCGCAACAAATTTAGTTACTGTAGCAGTAGATTGCTCTGGTTATATATAGCCATAATTTTGCGAGAATATTTACCGCCCTTCTGAGAAATCGTATGCCTAAATGAAGTTTCGAAATGCGCTTGCGCCCTCTCTTAGGATGCGTCAAAGATATTTATAACCAATTGGCAATTTTGGGCACAAAATAACCTGCGAGGCTGAAATTTTGCAAGGATATTCTATATCCACTTGCAGTTTAATGGCTCCCTGTGCAATAAGCTTGATTACTGGTGCAGTAAATTGCCCGGTTAATAAGCTGGTTGCAGATGTTACCAAAGTGATCAGCAGCGCTGTGACCGGTACAAGCTGTACGCTGAATCATACTCTAACAAAACTGTTCGGTCAAACGAAGGCACTGGTTCGGCATATTCCGTCCAAAGTTAAAGAGTCTTTGGGCGATCTTTCTGGATTTAAAATGATTGATTCGGTAAGTTAGTTTTCAACTTCGTAATTTTTTTTTCGAAAATACACAGAATTTTGCCCAGCCACTAGCTGGTATGGTGAAGTGGAGTGTTCTACTGTTTTGCAGCAGGTCTAGGGTTTGACCCCGCCGACGGAACAAATCCCTTTACGATTCGCTTATTTATTCAGATGGTATTAGCATCGAACAAGGAAATTTGATTTTTTAATTATAAGGTGTTAAAATTTCTGCAGATACAAAGCGATTTTGACAGCGTGAGCCAAGCATTTGAAGAAACAATCAAATCAATGGAAATGACAAGAGAAGATGCGGAACAGATACCATCGGAACTGGGTTCACAACTCGTCTCCGACATTACTGCAATGATTGAAACGACTCAAAAAGCTTCTAAGGTATGCGTCCAAGATTTCTTTTTTCACCTCTGGTTGCCTTCACTGCTATTTCTTGTCTTCTAAAGCACAAACATACAGATGCGCATAAACATACGGATAGGCACACATTTACTGTTGGGTTACGTAATTAGGCCTACACGTAACTGCATGAAAGGATTACTAACAATATGAGGCTCACGAAGAATTTGACACAGCTTTGCTCGATATATGGAGTATCTCAATAACTCACTAACATTAAGCATCCAGATTGATTTTCTAAGCAGTTCTGGTGCACTGCGGGATAATTTCTTTAACAAGTTTAGTTTCCCACGTCCTAAACTGCTGTTGTTTTCAACGAATTTAGCATCATTTTGAAGACTTTTGTGCCCTTATACGTAAATGTGCGATTGATTATTTGTGTTCTATTTGTATTTAGTTTTAGGTATTCGAATATACACATTATAGCAACTGCTTATTGGGCTGACATTCCACTCAAAAAGTT